AGAGAGAGAGAGAAGGGAAGAAAGAAAGAGAAAAAATGCTTAATAAATATCTGTTCTTCCATGAAAGAGAGAGGTAAGGAAGAAAGGGGTGGGGGGGAGAAAATAAGTGTTTTCCATCCATATGTCTGCTTGAAGGTAGATTTAGTGCTACTGGCTTTTCTGTAATTCACAGGAGAAACTTGCTGTAACATTGTTCAGGGAGAGGTGGGATGGACCAAAGTATAACCACAAGAGGAAATGTGATTGGTAGTTAGGAGTACAAACTTCAGACAGACTTGTCTAATACTGGCTAATACTGACTCTGCTGTTTCTAACTGTGTGCCTTTGGATAAGTGATTTAGCCTCTCTGGCCCAGTTTCCCAGTATGTAAAGTAGAACTAATGATACTTCTAGGGTGTGCAAAAGTCCCCCGATCTGCTTGGCCAATCTGTTGCCTTCATTCTCTGAGACTTGACTTCCCTTTTTCAAGGAAGGGGTCCTGCAGTCATGCTTGTTGCCTTGCCTGCTACAAATGAAGGGACTGGGGTGGAGGGAGTCACCTGACTTAGGACAACCCAACCCATCGACTGGGCTGACACAATCAGCTTCTCTCTCCTGGGGGAGGACAAAGTGGCATAGTGCATATAGTGCTTCACAAAGTATCCGGGATGTAATGAGGGTTCAGCCACGTCAAAACCCAAAGTAATAACCATTTCCTGGCATCTGCTCTTTGACTTACAAAATATCTGTCCACAGTAACCGTAATTTGGTAGTTGGTATAAGTCTAACAGGCAGAGCAGGGGAGAATTTACCTCAGGTTTTGGAGTGACAGTTCAAACCAAGAGAAGGATGACATTCCTATCTTTATATCCCTTTCGTGCCAGAAACATTTCTGAATGAAGCATGTATTCAACATTTTTCTCTGGAAAAGCCTAACAGTTCTCATGCTAGAAATTTTAATGTCATGGTCCCAGTCTATGCAGATTTGGACCTAATACTGCTTGTTTTTAACAAGTTCAATTGGGAAACAGCAGAGGTGAAATGCCATTTTTAACCCCGCCCCTTTCTCATGAGTATAGTCACAGTTTTAGCATCACGAATGGCTGTTGATGTATGCCATCCTTCACAGGTCTGACTCATTAAATGCAGTGAAACATATTCAGCAAGGATTACACCTCATTTTGCTCATTAAACCAAAACAGGCACCATGTGGGGAAAAGGTAGAGGGGGTTTCAGCTCCTGTAATCTAAAGGGTCTTCAAGAAAGCAAAGGCTTTCTTTAACAAATAGTGCACACAGGAGATAATCTTTTCCTATTTAGGTATTGATCCAGACTATCAACCAAAACATCGAGGACAGAATTTTCACCCATCTATATACTTTCCATCTTTCACAATGTTTCTTTTCTTTTTTCAACGTTCTATATCATGAAAATATTATTTCCTTTTCTCTCTTTGCTATATATACAGAGCTGAAGGTCATTTGGATTTGTTTTTCTCCTAATTAAATTTTATCAGCTGTGTGCTTTTTTTTTTTTTTTTTTTTTTTTTTTTTTTTGGGGCTGAAAATTCTTTCTCCTTCTCTGTCTCTTTCCTAAAACAGAAAGTTTTTTGATTTGGGAGCAGCCAACTGTGATTAATGCACCTCAGAGATCCCATAAAGTTTTCATATGTGCTGAAAGATTCTGCAGTGTCTTTGGGATATCAGTGAGGATTTAGGGCAAAATACCATTCTTCCAGTGACAAGCTCTATGCAGGAGAGTCGCTTAGTCACAGCATAGCAACCCCTAAATTGTATATGTGTGTGTGAAAAAGATATATGTATGTATATATGTGTATATATGCAAATGTATCTATTATATATACATACATATATAAGTATGTATATATTCTGTAACCAGCAATGTATAATCCAGGTCTCTTTTCAAAAGGAGCCCCAGTTCAAATGCACAGCTGGATATGCCAGAAAACACATAATTAGACAAATCGGATTTAAGAGTTACGTAAGGTCTCAACTGAGCCAGTGAATAAGAAGCTGAATGAAACGTTGTGATTGCTGCTCTGGTGCCTGGGAAGAACAGAATATGTGGATATGTGTGTTTGGGGCAAATAAAAGGCAATTACTGGGAGTTATGGAGTGTGGTTGGCATCCATGAGAGTTAGACCATAGAATGTTACACAACAGGCTTTTGGCGGGGGGTAAAATGTTGTCCATGGTTAAAAGGGGGAGTCTGTAGGAGATGGACCTAAAGGAAAAGATTTGGTAAATACCATTTTGGAGTTATCTTTTCAGTAGGGTATAAAAAGTCTTAGATAATTTTTTTTTTTTAATCTGGGTTTTATCTGTTGCCCAAGCTGGAGTGCAGTGGCATGATCATGGTTCAGTACAACCTTGACCTCCTGGGCTCCCAAGTAGCTGAGAGTACAAGTGTGCACCACCACACCTAACTAATTTTTTTTATTTTTTTTTAGAGATGAGGTCTTGCTATGTTGCTCAGGCTGGTCTTGAACTCCTGGGCTCAAGCAATCCTCTCCCGTCTACCTTGCAAGTGCTGTAAATACAAGCATGTGCCACCTTGCCTGGCAGAGAATTTTAAGTACAAAAAGGATACACTATATAATATTATTTCCCTTCCTAACCTGGACATTTCCAGGCAAGGCAGGTATGTTCTGGGGAGGAAAACAAGCAAAGGCTACAGTTTCAGAATTTTTCACTAAGAATATTCAAACCAATGCCTAAATATTGAAGATAAGCCCCCTCAAAGAATTAAGAAGCTAAGGCTAAATTACCAGTTTTTTTCTATTTGCAAATAATCTAATTTGCAAATTTGTCTCAAGGTGACTGAACAAAAAGTAGGTATTCCTCTCTCTCAACAATTTCCCTAAAATAAATGGGACAAAAAAGCAATTGCCTGAGAGAGTCCTATTTTCTCAAAGAGAACATCCTGGATTGACAAAAGTACATATTAGTCCCCATGACACCAATACTCATAGCATTTGTGGCTTGTCTCTCAGTGTGCAATTTAAATATGTATCCACAGAATCCTTGCCAATAATATTAATAATTTTTCATCCATTGATGCTGCCTAACCATTACAATCTCTATTAGCAATCTCATGTTTGGTTTCATATACTTTACAAGAAATGTTTTGAGGCTAGGCATGATGACTAACAACTGTAATCCCAGCATTTTGAGGCTAGGAGTTCAAGACCAGCCTTAGCAACATAGCAAGACATCATTCCTACAAAATTAAAAAAAATTAAAAAATTTAAAAAATGTTTGGAATGTCTCTAATTTGCAAGGCATGTGCTACAGACAGTGGCAAGTACAAAGATGAACAAAGCATCTCTTTCCTCAAATTTATAATCTAGTAAGAGAGACAGAAATATCATAGGGAGGTGAACATGATATGTTGTTGGCAAATTTGCCATGTACTTGGTGGTTGTGCATCAGAATTTTTATTTTGAAAATAAAGAAATTATTTTGAAGGATTATATTTTGCTTGCATTACTATTTGAAGTGCATTTTGCCTGTGTTATTTAAAATGGAAGTTCTTTTATGTCACAGGTATGTCTGTGCAACCATCATGGTGGTTACTATTACAATATAGCATTATATAATACTTTAAAATGATGATGATCAAATAATTGCATAATTAGGGACACAGTGGTTGGCAAAAAGTCTTGGTTATAAATCTAATGGAGACCCTTAATGGCAAATTCAAGCAAACAAACAAACTAACAAACGAAAGCTATGTAATTTGATGAGGCCCAAGTAGATTCTCATGTTTGACAAAACTTTACATTCTTCTCAACAGCTGTCTATTGATTTATCAAATTGCAAATGCCATATTTGGAGAAGACCCTCCTCCATTTGTTTATGTGTGGGAAAGCTTTTAAAAGTACTTGCTAGGGGTGTAGTGACCAAAACAACCCAAGGAGAACAAAGCTTGGCAAAACTACAAATGTGATTACAGCGTGGCTATCTCTTTGCTTCTTAGTCTAAAACTCTTTTCCAGAGAGAGAAGGTTGTCTTTCACCTTCTAAATACTTTCAAAAACACCAAAGAGGGCAGGTGCATTCAGTATAGCTTTTCCTGGGCTAAAAGAAAGCTCTTCATCCTTAAGTTGGTATCTCAATACACTCCTGACACAGAGAAGAATATCTGAATGTTCATTGAATTAAGGTCTTTTATATGCTTTTCCAGGCCAACAATCATCAATCCTTCCTTCCAATGGCAGAGCACAGAGATGTGTCTTAAGTAAAATACATTCACTTGGTTTGATTATTCATAATTTTGTGACATTATGCCTTCATTTAGGACTTATTAAGACATAAAAACAAATCAAGGAAAATAAAAGAAACAATCATTTGAAGTAACACCCATTTATGATGGCAAAATTTATGATGAAAAATCATAGCTCCTTCTTTGATGTGTTCCCTATTTCAGTTTCTACTCAGATGAGTAATGTCAGAAATAGGCGAATACTTTTCTATGGTGTTAGGACCAAAGAGCTGTTAGTTTCGAGCTGATAAAACTTTCCACTAAACTTGAGTATATACAGCCAGAATTTCTGGGTTATAAAACCAAATTCAATGTTGATCTTGTCAAAAGGACTAGGAATAAGAACAAAAACACATGCAAGTAAGAAAGTAGAGACTTACGGTATCACGTTGCCTGTTATCTTTCCCTGATATTATCAAGAAGTAGTTCCATGTCAACAGTAACAACAAAACCAGTGGTATCATGTAGAGCTCAAAGTTCCAGACAACAAAGAGAAAGAGCTGGAGGAGAGAGCAGAGAGAAGAAGGGATGAGTCAACACTGAATTTCATTAAATGGTCTCTCTTATTTATATTCCACTTCAAAAAACACAAAACTAAATGCTTCAGAATGGGAAGATTTATCTTGAAAGCAAAGCCTTGGAACTTGTTAAGCATTTTTCTAAAAGCACAACTGACCCCTGGAAAGTCACTGTTAAGATTTTTAATCTGTTTAATTGCTATGAAGGAGAAATTGATATCATTACATTGTCAAAGAGGCAATTTTAATTTTTCTCCTCCAGAGGAATTATTGTTAGGTTAGACAAAATAAAGTGAAAAAAAAAAAAAAGGCAGCAAAATGAGCTTCACTTCACTAAATTGTCAGAAACAACCCGGTCTATCTGCCATAATTATCAAAAATAAATCATTATTTAATATCAGGGATTAAAACAAAATCTCACTTGAATAACACATTGTAACAAGTATAATAGACAGATGGAAATACCAAGTCTCCACCAGAAAGTCCCAAAGATTTCACATTATGAAAAACGCGCTGCTACTAACAAGTGGAAAAGAGATTGACTTAACATTCAGCATAACCACAGAAATCAAACAGCTATGAAAATTTATTAAAAGAAAATTTTAAAACACCTATTTGTATTTTTTTTAACACTACCTACTTGTCTAAGTATATAATTTTTTGTTGTAAGACAAATGTTAGATCGAGAACTCCGGGTGGCATATGGAGCCATTCTAAGAGCATTTATGTGATAAAACAACACAAAGTTGGACATAAAGTATGACTCACCTCCCCGCTCCCCACCAGATTCTTGTTATCCTGGCCGAATCATCTATATTCTCTGAGTCTGTGACTCTTGCTGTCAAATTAAGGTAATGTCAAATCAGGTGGTATTTTAGAGTTAGATTCTACTCTTGACTCTAATGCTAACTAGCTGTAAACCTTTTGGTAATTTACATACTCTCTTTTTAATTTCTTCCCCATATCATGGAGATAATAAGAGTATCAACCTCATAGACGTGAGAACTAATTAAAAAGTGTTAAGGATTGAACACACTGCTTGGTACCCAGTAATTGTGTAAAAACCAAAACCCAAATCTTTATTGTATAAATGTTATTCATGTCTTACAAAACTCAGAAAGCCAACAAATTATTGACTAGGGTTCTCAGGGAATACAAATTCTAATATTGAAAGCTAGAAAGTTCTCTGCCTGCTAAGGTTTAGCTGATCCATTGCATAACTGGGAGTTTCAGCCTGCTGTGTAGGGTAACACAAACATCTTGCATGTGGTAGGTCAAGAGAGTTGGGGCAGTGTCCTCAGGACACTCATGTGAGGTACAGCAGTGTGGGTCATTTGCAGTCTTCTTAGTATTTCAGTCAAACCTTCAGCCTGTGTAAATGGCAGAGAAATTACGCTGTGTGCTTGACAGAGAGATCCCAAGCCTGAGGGCCAGGAGACCCAGCTTCCAGGCCTTAGAAGGTCAATTTGCTTCAATGTTTGCATATTTTAACAGAGGTCTATAAACATGATCACCTTTTGAAAATTTATTTTAATTTATTATTATTATATTTAAGAGACAAGTTCTTGCTCTTTGCTTAGGCTGGAGTGGAGTGGCATGACCATAGTTCACTGTAGCCTCCATCTCCTGGGTTCAAGAGATTCTCCTGTCTCAGCCGCCCAAGTAGCTGGGACTATAGGCATGTACCACCATGCTTTGTTAATTTTTTAAATTTTTTGTAGAGATGGGGGTCTCACTATGTTGCCCAGGCTGGTCTTGAAATCCTGGCCTCAAGAGATCCTTCCACCTCAACCTCTCAAAGTGATGGGATGCTGGGAAGGCAGACATGAGCCACCATGCCAGGCCCTGATCACCTTTCCCATCCCTTCCCTATATTTAAAATAAATTCATGAGCCGGGCTCGGTGGCTCAGCCTGTAATCCCGCGCCCGCGCCTTTGGGAGGCTGAGGTGAGTGGATTGCCTGAGCCCGCGGGTTCGAGACCCGCCTGGGCAGCGAGACCTCATCTCTACAATAAATAAAAA